TATCTTATTTGAGGCTATAATGCTATACCATGACGATATTCACACCTTATAGGGATGAATGTAATGCTATACCATGACTCAAGGTGTGAATATCGTCATGGTATAGCATTATAGGGATGACAATATAATGAATCGAGTAACATTAAGTAATTAAGATATTTTTCGAGTATCATATAAGTAGGTCATGCCTAATAGATAAATTCAGATAGTTTTAAATATTTTCGGATCTAGAATGACTAAACGAACATGTATCTTACATGACGTCATCTCAACTACTTAAAAAAAAGTTTAAAAATATTGTCTAAAAAATCATTGAGGGTAAATATATACTTTTATTATTGGAGCCCACAAGCAAAGTTTGGAGTCGTTATACTGTGCATCCGTGTGCACCATGCATGGTGCATACGGATGCAAAAAAGACGTCGTTTTGACATCGACGTCGTTTTGATGTCGACTTAAAAATAATAATTCATAGTTGCATAACTACACGTACATAATTTCATAACTATACATCCAAAGAATTGCATAACTACACATCCATAACTTCATTACTATAGATCCAGAATTGCATAACTACACATCCATAACTATAAATCCATAATTGCATAACTTCATAACTATACATTCAGAATTGCATAACTACACATCCATAATTTCATAACTATAAATCCAGAATTTCATAACTATACATCCATAATTTTATAACTATACATTCAGAAATTATGTACAACATAATGTTGTTGACGGGAATCGAAGCTGATTTTTTTTTTTTTTTTTTTTTTAAGTTGGACGCGCGTTTTTAGTCAAAATGACGTCGTTTTTGCATCCATGTGCACCATGCATGGTGCACTGATAAGTGCTTAATTGTCTATATTTTCCCCCCTTTCACCAAGTCATTTTGCTCATAGATTATTCCAAATTTCATGAGATTAGGACTAAATTGTGTTATTTTGCAAGGAGTTTGGTTTGAAATGCATTGGAAGCAAAGTTGAGTATTTTCAGGCATTTTGGTGGACATTGGAGTCAAATTGAGCGTTTTGGATGCATTAGAAGTCCATGGGAGCCAAGGAAAGCTAAGAGGATGGCTAAAACACTTCCAAGGGAGCCTAAGAGTGGTGTTTTCAATGGTGTTGGTCATTTGGGCAAACCTAAACAAAAGAGGAGCAAAAGATCAATGCATTGCTATTTTTGCCCATTTCGACCACTGTTCGGTATTTTGACTATATCTCAGCCTAGAAGTGTTGAAATGAAGCGATTCTTGTGTCATTGGAAAGAAGACTCAAATAGCTACAACTAATATTCGGACATCAAAGCCTAAAAAGGAAGCCACATGGTTCAAAATTATCCTTGAAGTTGAAGTTCCAAACTTACAATCCAAAACTGACCACTGTTTGGTTTTTGGACCATATCTCGGCCTAGGAATGTCCAAATGAAGTGATTCTTACGCCATTGGAAAGAAGACGTGAAGGGCTACAACTTTCATGAAGACCATAGTTCCAAATTCTGACGTTTTGAAGGCCAAAAGGCACGGCCAAGTGCACGGCCGTGTCTATGACCGTGTATTTTCTGTGCATTTCAGTAGCTACTGACGTTCTGCACACGGCCAGGGACATGGCCATGTCCCTGGCCGTGTCACTGTGCTCTACAATTTTATAAACTCCAATTTTTTGTCATTTCTACTTGGTTTTGACTCTTGGTTGAGCCCTAGCTTCTCTCTTTCATTCTCCTTCATATTTTTAGGTTAGATTAGGCTTAGATTTATGTTTCTTAACACTTTTGAAGCTTGTAATCTTGGATTTGAAGCTTGGATTCCAACATTTGAAGATTGTTCTTCCATTTTCAATACATAAGTTCTTACTTCCTTTTATCTCTTTCTTTTGCAAGATTTATGTTTGTTACTTATGCTTTTGTGTTCTTTATGCTATTTAATCATAAGTAGTTAGTTTATGGACTTGAGTTAGGGTTGTATTATCTATCTTGATGCTTGATTTGTGATTATTGCAAAAAATGGGAAGAACTCCAACCTATGGTTCATGTGTTTGTGAAGGTTTTGTATTTATATCTTGTTAATGTTTGATGTACACATTCATTAGCTTGTTTTTGGAGGATTCCTTGCCTTAACGAGAGTTGGGTGATGAATCCAAGCCACCCCTTGCATAGACCCGATTTCTTCCTACGAAAATAGGGGAAATTGGGAGCTTTAGATCGATGCTTTGTGTGCTTGATGGACTTGGAATTGATTCACCACGAAAGTGGGGCAATTCCTTGTCCTAATCCTTGTTTATTAATCACGAGAATGGTTCGTAGACTAGGATGATTACATGCATTCCCCCTTGATTCCTTGGTTACTTGTTCTCCCTAATCCCTTAGGTTGTGCTATGCATCTAGAAGATAATGCTCCTTAGCTTGAGTCCTATTCCTTTATTTTGTGTTTATCTTTGCGTATATGTGTTAGTCTTACCACTTCCTTAAACTTGTAGTTTGCTTAGCTTCTTGTTGATTTCCTTATGCTAGAAAAGTTTATTGTGATTGCATATTGCGTGTCATAACCCCCAATCCCCTGAGGACGACATAACACACCCGAGCTCACATCTTATTTTTGCTACATCATGCACGGATGCACATCATAATTTGCCCAAAGTTTGGGGTGTGAAAAAGAAGCAATCATTATATTATACCATGGGCTATATACAGTTTACTTTGTAAGGTAAGCTCCTAACATAAGGTTCATTTTTACTATGCTAAAAGTTCATTTTTAATATATTGAATATTTATTTATTTATTTTTTTGAAGGTTCATTATTCTGTTCGTAGATCAGCGAATAAGCTTGCTCGCGCTTTAACTAGAGCTACTAGTTCTCAGTCTGGTCTTATTTGATTTTCTGTTATTTCTTCTTGTATTGAACGTTTGATTATTTAATGTGATCGTATTTTTGGTTTTCAAACAAAAAAAAAAAAATGTTCCCAATCAAAACCCTCATTATACCCTTATTGATTGATTAAATGGTTGATAATTTAACGCACAAAATACATATCCCAAAAGGCCACAATGCAAGAACCATTCAACTTATTTTAATTTAAAAAGGGTTCCAAATGCATGTCCACATTCGTTAGATATCAATCATTATTGTGTGGACCATGATTTACATAATTATGTGGATCATATTATAAAATAACGTACATTCAGTACAGAAATAATATATTTTTAATATATTAAAAATATACATTGTATTTAAGAAAAATATGTTATTTAAGTATTAAAAATACATTATTTTATATAATGTACATTCAGTTCACAAATAATGTAATTTTATTATATTAAAATGTATTTTTTGATACTATTCATATAATCGTCCTAACAATAATTTGTGGCCTAGGATATCTATGAAGCCATTAGCCATCCAGCAATAAAGAAAGTTGAAGAATTCAACCTCAGAATTATCCTGTCCCGGGCAATACAACAGCAACTTAACTGTCGATTAACTTTTGATTTATCCAAATAAGGCGGGTTATTATCACGTTTGATCCCACAAATTTTATGATATTTTTATTATTAATGTATGATTGCGAATATTGTCAGGACATGTGTATAAATTTTGATCAATTACAAATTATGTGACAAATTTTGGTGAGATTTCACTATTTTTTTTTTATTTAAATCGAAAGGACTAAATTAAAAAGAGAGAGAACAACACACACACGCACACAACAAATAAAAGTCTGAGTTATTTTCATTTTTGGTCACATGACTATTATATTATCTTCTCTACATTTGGTCTTTAAATATTAATTTTGTAACACTTGGTGCAATACTTTCATTTTTTGACATATTTGATCATTTTAACTAAATCTTTGATAGAAAACATGTTGTTTTCTATCAAAATTTTGTTAAAATGACTAAATGTGAAAAAAAAAAAAAGTAAAATGAAAATCATGCACCAAATGTGAGAAAAGAGTTAATTTCAGGAATGGTTACTTGACTATTCTCATTTATCAATTTTTATCATTCGATTTTTAATTGGATCATAAATGATCCATTGACTATTGATTTTGTTTTAAATTTGGTCTTTTAGTTAAATATCATTTGAATACATATTAAATTTAAGGGTAGTAATATAAAAATTTTAGTTCATCACAATGATGAATTCAAGGTATTACATTTATGAACTCAATTTGTTCATCTCAACAACAAGCTAATTTTTACATTATTATTCTTAAATTCAATGTTTATTCTTCCAAAAGGCTGAACCTCAACCCTAAGGGCCCCCCACCCCCTGACCCGACAGAGCATTTGAGAGGTAAATTCAATGTTTATTAAATGGATATTTGACTGAATAACCAAATTTGGAACAAAATCAATAGTCAAGGGATCATTTATGATCAAATTGAAAGTCAATAACCAAAATTGGTAAAAATCAATAGTCAGAGAGCAGTTATGCTCCAATTGAAAGTTGATGGATAAAAATTGATAAATGTTAATAATCAAGGAATCATTCCTGGAATTAAATTAATACTTGAGGACTAAATGTGAAAATAATCTAATAGTAATAGAATCAAAAGGTGAATATATAACTCAAAAAGTCATGTACTGATGATGACAATTACTTGTCATGAAACCAAAAATGTCACAATTGGGTGAAATATAATTTTCGTACAAAAAAGGTCATGAGTTCGAATATTGCCAACACTTTCTCAGTCGACCATTTTACACGGCGTCTTCCTAATAATGTAGTTAGCCTATATTGTGCGGGTGTAGATTATAAAATAGTAGTAGATTGAGTTTACTTGATACACGTACACTCTCAAATTCTCGATCGAGTAGTCAGTGTGAGTTTTCTTGCCCAATAAAAAACTTATTTATCTTATTTAATCCACTCACAAGGTGAATTTCATTTAATACAATATTATTATTCCATAAAATATTGGCAAAATATGGCGTTTCCACTTGCTCTTGCCTCATTTGGTGGAGTCTCCATTCCCAACTGCCAATAATTCCTCAAACAGGAAACCCATGAAACCCTACTCCACTTCTATACAACAACTCTATATAAACAACGTTAGATCTTTAATTCGTTGCCCCTCACTAGCTCTAACCTCGGTAAGTCTTGCGTTACGTTTTTGAGATAAATAATGTATACTCTTATGTTGCATATATGATACAAGTAGTTTGAATAACCCATTTTTGTTTCTGGAATGACAGGAACCAAAAAACAAGAACAAAAAACCAGACACAAAAAATGAGACGATTATTCGTGGTGTTTGCATTAATCATGATGATGATAACTTGTTCTTGCTTGGTGACTGGGCGTCAAGTAGAGAGGAAGCTAGTGGTTGAGGACACTGATGATGAGAACGATAATAATGGTTATATGAACTCTTCTGGCAATTCTGATTTGGATAATCACCATTTCAAACGCAGGCAAGACTTCTACAACAATAACACTAATAATAATGATGGTAATAATGGACCTAAAGGAGGGAGTGCATGAAAATACAAATGGCGGAAGGTTGTGAAGAAGCTAGTAACGTTACACAAATAAAAAAACATATCTTAATGCTATAATATATTATGTGTAATAGCTAGTGTTTATATTCCATAACACATAGTTTATGGTGTGCGCTGCAAATTTTAGTTTACGTACTGCATGCATGTATGTATACTGAGTGCTACGTTGGAATCCTATTATTATACCGGGCAATACAATGTATTCTGGCTTTTGTTTTTATATTATCACTGAGTATATATGTTTAATAATTAATTTAATAATTATTTAGGCATCATATTTTAATTTACTAGAATTTAACAATAATTGAAGGCTTAAGGAGTATGTAGTTTTTTTTTTTTTTGTTTTTGTTTTTTGTTTTTTGTTTTTTGTTTTTGTTTGTTTTTTTTTTTGTTTTTTGTTTTTGTTTTTTTTTTTTGTTTTTTTTGTTTTTGTTTTGTTTTGTTTTTTTGTTTTGTTTTGTTTTGTTTTTTTTTTTGTTTTTTTGGTTTAGTTAAAAGTCCCAAACAAATCGTCCTTATATTTTATAAAATAACACAAGAATAGTTCAATTATATAAGTAACTAAGTAAGTATATAATATCTATTTTATTTGATAAGTCACTTAAAATTATTTCCCGAATATAAGGATACTACCATTTGTTTTAAAAAAATGTAACTCAAACAAATGGTGACGAATTATAGATAGGGCTACTATAATTTGGAAAATGCGTTATTTATGTATAAAATATAACAATTTATGTACCAGGGGTACGTGTTGATGGAAGATGCGGTTGGGGTGACTTTCTCTAGGCGGGTGAGAAGGGTTCATCAAAGTTAAAGTTTTCCCTCCTCCAGATTAAAAAAAAAAAAGAATTAAATAAATATGTCCAATGAAAGACTAGTAAAAATACTAAAGAATTTACACCTTAATTAATGCGTTAAATTTTAACAAATATAACACATACATTCATAAAAAATATATATATTTAATGCTATTTTTACTATACCACATACTATGGCAACTTATACCATGAATCATTAATATAAGTTCATTTTAGTATATATATTGCATGTTTGTTTTTAATGTATTATATATTTACATTTAAGTAGTGCACTAAAAAAACCTATATCAAAATATAATGAATTTACTAAATACAAATTTGTAATATAATAAAAGGAAACCTGCAGTATACTAAAACTAAACCTATATGTAAATGGTCAAGGACCTTGTGGTTTAGTGACATCAAATTGCTCTTCCAAATGGTGAGATGTGAATTCGGGTTTCAGTGGGGGCGATATTGACTTTATGTACGTCAGTAGATTTAGAAAATAGTTATATATAGACAGATATTACATTGTAACAAAGTCATCACAAGTACTAATCCTTGGCTTGGAGTTATATATAACTCCTAAGTTAATACCAAATGGTTTGGAAAAACTATACGGGTTAATATAATCCATTTCCTATAACCCCAATAAGTAGTTTTTTTTGAATGCTCCAATAAGTAGTTTTTTTGAAAGTCCAATAAGTAGTTAATACCAAATGGTTTGGAAAAACTATACTCCCTAAGACCCAATCGTTATGCCATGGAACCGTGTTGACCATCCATTGTGAACACGGTCCCAACGGTAACAACACTGTTATCTTCTTTTCTTTAAAAAAAAAAAAAAAAAAATTAACAGCGCGACTTTTCTTCTTCATTTTCACATTTTGTGTTTTCACTTCATTTTCGCGCAAGCTTTTTCAACACTCATAAATTATGAATGTACAGGCATAGATTTATGAATGTGCAGTTATGAAATTATGAATATTCTTTTATAAGATTATGAATTTTCTGTTATAAAATAATGAATTTTCTGTTATGAGATTATGAATTTTCTGTTATGAGGTTATGAATTTAATTACATAACTGTAAATTCATAATCTCATAACAGAAAATTCATAATTTAATAAATATAAATTCATAATCTCATAACAGAAAATTCATAATTTTTGTTATGAGATTATGAATTTACAGAAAATTCATAATTACATACTGTAAATTCATATTCTCATAACAGAAAATTCATAATTTAATAAATGTAAATTCATAATTTGAACATAAAATGCAAAATGCCGTTAACAGCACATTAACTAATTTTTTTTCCCCATAAAAACGACGCCGTTTGGGCCCGTGTTCACCATTCATGGTGAACACGTTTCCAGGGCATAATTTGCGGCTAAGACCATCTCCAACCTAAAACATCAAATTCTGCACCAAATTTTACACCAAAAGGAATATTCCCAGCATATTTTTACACTAAATTTTTTCATCTCCAACCCATTTACACCAAATTCTACACCAAATGTTATTCCTACACTAAAATAATTTATATTCTCATAAATTAAAAGTTTATATTTATACTTTTATTATTTTAATATAACATATAGTTGTAATTTAATGTAGTTTAATAAATTAAACTTTAATTGCTTTTTATGTAATTTTATTTTTAATTAAATTATATTCAATATTAGTCTTGTTTTAATCGTCTTGATGGGATCTTTCAAATGATATAATTTTTTTAAAATAATATACAATTTATGTTTAAATATTTAACAAAATATGTAAATATATATGAACTAAAATGGATACAAAAGAAATTATAAAAGAAGATAAAGGGCAAAATAGGAAAAAAGAAGTACCCAAAAAATGGCGTGGATGAACACTACCGCGTCATATATGGCGCGGTATTGTTCTTCAACACCAAATTATTTGGTGTTTTGCCGTCCGGGTGGAGGCCATTTTTTGCCGTTTTACGCCAAATTTTTTGGTGATTTGGTGAGATAGCGTTGGGTTGGAGATGGTCAATAAGTTAGTAATAATAACTTTTTGGCAACCAACAATATTTAAACTTTCTTGAAAATATAAAAGGTAGAAAAATTATTTGTGCAATCTTTGACTTACGAAAGCCCGAGTCAATGGGAATCACATTTTCAGTCATTATCAATGAATAAATCCCAGCTAGGGGATGTTGGGTTCTTTTTCTTGGGTGACTGAGAATATACCAAATTTATTAAATTATGTATTTATCCATTTTGGCATCAGATTAAAAGTCTTATAAATATAAAAATTAATCTCTTCAATCATTACATATTGTTTATAAAAAAAACTTACATCTTAAAGTTCTTTGAAAATATATTTTTGTTCATTTAAAAAATACAGTTGGATATGAATATTATGATGTTTTCATTGTTAGTGTGTAATTATTAAACACAAAAATATGAAAAATATTTTCAGAAAAATAATCATTAATTTTTTTTTTTGAGTTTTTAAATCGATCCTAATGTAAATTGCTCTTTACAATAAGAAATGAAAATTGGCACAATTTTTTTAATCATCCCAATCCTCATTATTGATTGATTAAAATGGTTGATAATGCACAAAATGCATATCCCGCAACAATCATTCAACCTATTTCATTAAAAAAATTGATCCAAATGTCAATATTCCTTAGATATGTATGAGTCAGCTAGCTACAAAGATTCAACCTCAGAATGATCCTGTCATGGCAATTCAACAGTAACTAATTGAGTGTTGTCCATTGACTTTTGGTATATCCTAGTATTATATTCTCACTTTTGGACACGGATATTATGATGTTTCCATTGTTACTGTGCAATTATGAAAATTATCAAAATAAGTATATGTAGATTTGTTTTTCTCATTTTTCTTTTCATTTGGTTATTTTGGTGAAAAATTTGTTGAAATCCCATTAAATTTCCTTACATGACTGCGAATGATCGATGTTTATTAAAAAAAGAAATCCGTTCAAATGATATACTATTGTAAAAATGTATAATTTTTTTTTTTGAAGAGCTCAAAAAAAATGTATAATTTTTACTTATAAGCTTTGGTTACTTGCAAGACACACACCTATACTAGTAATTTATATAATAGTACACCAATAATGGAACCGATCGATATATATATACACACACACGCACAAAAGAGGGGCACTTGAAAACCAAAATTAACTAGTTATTTATATACCGGAGATAGTGTCATGTATAGTATTTTGTTTCCTATAAATATGTTTGATCTTGAATAGCAAAAATTCGTGGGACAAAAAAAAAAAAAAAAAAAAAAAAAAAAAAAAACTGTATCTTAATTAATCCACTCACAAGGTGGATTTCATTTAATACAATATCGTTCCATCAAGTCATCATTTAGGCGAAATATGGCGTTTCCACTCCCTCTTGCCTCATTTGGTGGAGTCTCTATTCCCCACTGCAATGCAATTAATTCCTCAAACACTAATGAAACCCTAATCCATAGCCATTTGTATACAACATCAACAACAACTCTATATAAATAACATAAGATCTTTGTTTCTCCTCGCTCACTCTAACCTCGGTAAGTCTTGTGTATTTTAGATAAGTGTAGCTAGCTAGTTAGGGTTGATTTGCATACTCAGCTCGTATGTTGTGTGTGTATATATATATATATGATACAAGCTTTGTTGGGCGGAGGCCCGTGAAGGTCAAGTCCAATACCAGGTAACTAGAGGAATATTGTTAGGCCTCTAGAAGTCTGAAAGGTCAAGTTTAGTGTTCTATAAAGTTGTACATTCGTTACAAAGTTATAGTTTTTTAGTGCAGTGATACATGTTCCTCCTATAAATGTTATCCATTTTGTTTTCGAAATGACAGGAACAAAAAACAATAAAAATGAGACGTTTCGTGGTGGTCGCATTGATGATGATGGTGGTGGCCTCTTCTTCTTGCTTGGCGGTTGGCCATGAACTAGGGAGGAAGCTTGTGGTTGAGAAGAGTGGCAACAACAACGATGATAATGGCGGCGGCTATATGAATTCACGCCCTAATGATTTGGAAAATCACCATTGCAAACCCTGGCAAGACTTCAGCAACGACAACGGTAATAACGGTGGCACACCCGTTGGACCTAAAGCTGGGGGTGCATGCTAAGCTAATAGTGTTATAGTGTTTGTATAGTTTATGCTGCACGTACGCTAAAAAATTAACAACTTTAATTACTGCATGTATGGTGAGATTTTTATATGGTCATATTGTATGTGTGTGTATACGCGCGCGGTGTGCTATGTATTTTAGCTTTGTGTTGGATGGAAATGCATTATTATACGAAACAATAAATGATATTTTGGCTTTTGGCCTTTTGTTATTGTTGGTGGAAAATAAAAAACATTTTAAGTGGTTATTTTATGGTTCAAATATATGTGGGATACACTTTCGATTTGGATTGGGTCAAGTCGATTCAACTTCTCCTAAGTGACACAAAAAAATTTGATATATTGTATGCTCAAAATGAATAATAGATGAATGAGAAATTGATTCTCAAAATATACATTTTGAATTGAAAAACGGAGTTGAGAAAGCTTGGAAGAAGCGTTTGTCCCACATAGGATATGTAAATAAGTTTGCACTACTATATATACCATTTAGTTTTAAGATTTGAATTGTATGTCATAAAAATTTTTTCTTTTGCGTAGTCCGGGGTCCTTATAAAGGCTACTAAACTCTTTTTTTTTTTTTTTTTTGGGGAACTATTTCAACAATATTCCAACGATTGTTGCATTCAGGTACTAATTATTATGCAGACTCTATAATCAAATTAAACATGAATTTTAATACCAAAGATCACAAGTCTAATTCGAGAAAGTATCTAAATTTATTGAACTGTCGTCCAATGTAAAAATGAAATTTTAATATATTAAAAATAAATATTTATCGGTAGTTCATATTGCAATGTTGACCATAGTTCATTTTGCTTTGATTTTGTTAATTGTCTTGGTGTGTTGATTAGTCTTTTATTTTTATACTAGTTTTTTACGCGCATTGCGCGATTGGGATAATGCTCAATGTTTTTTTTTAAATAAGTATATTAAAGTATATAAAGCCAAGATTATATTGCAATTGTTCATGGATAAATCCCATTTTTTTTTTAAATAAGTACTTTAAAGTAAATATCAATGCAAGATTATATTGAAATTGTTCCTGCATAGATAATTGAATGTTGAATTTGCGTATTTAAATAGGTAAATTCTAAGTTTACAAATGCAAAATAATATAGTCAAGATTGATTATAATTTTCAATAAAATAATTGTATAGGTATGGTTGAAACCAAATACGGGACATAAGGGAGAGAAAATAAAAATTAGAGCATAAAATATTAAATATATACTAATATTGAAGAGCTAACTGTTGATTGCCAAACAAGGACATTGCGAAGTAGTTTCTCACTTCAATTTGTTGTGAGATTTGAATACTCTTTTTATCACTAAATCCCCAAGTAGTTAATATGATTGGCTTAAAAATATTTTTTTATTTATTATTTTTTAAAAACAATTATTATTATTATTATTTTATTTTTATTTTTATTTTTATTAAATATATGTATATCATTAGGTCATTTTACATGTTAATCTAAACAACTAATTTTTTAAATATCTTTTTATCAACCGTTGATATAATTCGCTGGTCAAATCCGCTAACGCTAATCGCTAACTGCTGGTTGTCAAACAAGGACATTGCGAGATAGTTCTCACTTCAATTTGTTGTATGATTTGAATACTCTCTTTGTCAACAAATCTCCCAAGTAGTTAAGATGATTGACTTTATTAACTATATTTTTTTAATTTTTTCATGATATTAATAAAATACTTGGTAAATAAATATATAGCATTATTTTGTATTATAATTTTGATATTTAATTAAAAAAAATAGTGCACAAAAAAGATAATAGACAATGTAGTGAATATAATCAATTGATGAATTTGAATGTAAAGAATTTTTAAATTGGAGAAAAATAAAGACAATATAACCAATAAAATTATTTATGTTAATTAATTTATTGATAATGAATAATTTTTTTTAATAAAAACATTGTAGGGACAATGCAGCGAACATAATGATGAATTTGAATGTAAAGAATTTTTATATTGGAGAAAAATAAAGACAATATAATTAATGAAATTATTTCTCTTATTTAATTTATTGATAATGAATATATATTTTTTGAATAAAGACATTGTAGACACATAATTCTAAATTAAAGAAATGCATATGTATTATTTTTTGTTGTAGCTACTAAATTATTATTTTATTTAATAAAAATAAAATAGAGTACTAATTATGCCAACTTTGATTGGGATGAGGTTCAAACTTAAGACCTTTCTTATTTAAATCAATGAGTAATTAAGTTAACGGTGAACTAACAGAAATTAACGGAAAAGATAATATTTAAAGGAAAAGTTAACGGATAATCATATTCATTAAGGATAAATTAGGAAATTCATAAGAAAATATTAAAATCTGATCAATCTGAGCCATTCATTTGATTAAAATCTGTGACCGCCATTTTTTCTACCCATTATAGGCCTAACTCTCTTGGGCTCTTATTAGTGTATATATATATATATATATATATATATATATATATATATATATATATATATATATATATATATATATATATATATATATATATATATATATATATATATATATATATATATATATATATACTAGTTTTTTACGCGCATTGCGCGATTGGGATAATGCCCAATGCTTTTTTGTTAAATAAGTACTTTAAAGTATATTAAGGCAGGATTATATTGAAATTGTTCATGCATAGATAATTGAAGGTTGAATTTGCGTATTTAAATAGGTAATTCTTCTCCCAAAGGTTGAGTCCCAACCCCAAGGGCCCCCCACACTCCGACCCGAAATTCTTCTCCCAAAGGTTGAGTCCCAACCCCAAGGGCCCCCCACACTCCGACCCGACAGAGCATTGTGGGAAGTTGTAAATCACGGTGACTTAATGGTTCAGCAGACAGGGCCAAATGCTGATACGCACAAGGAATCTGCCCACTTTGGACATAATTCCCGCACTGCCGCCGCCGAGGTTCAAACCTTGGTCTCTTCTCCCAAATACTACCCACTAAACCATTGAGCTAAGCTCGTGCGAGTTAAATAGGTAATTCTAAGTTTACAAATGCAAGATAATATAGTCAAGATTGATTATAATTGTCAATAAAATAATTGTATAGGTATAGTTGAAACCAAATACGGGACATAAGGGAGAACAAATAAAAATTAGGGCATAAAATATTAAATATATACTAATATTGTTTGAGGAGATTCCAACATTAGGATTTGTGGTTAAGTTCTATTAAGACTTTAATATTAGAATTAGATTAATGGTGTAGTTATAATTCTATATCAGACTTTAATATTAGAATTAGACTAACGGTGAATTAACGGAAAAGTTAAATGGATAATCATATAATTAAGGATAAATTAGAAAATCTTAAAAGAAAAAAATTAAAACCTGAACAATATGAACCATTCATTTGATTTAATAATTTGGTGGTCATTTTTTCTACCCAATGTTAATAATTGAATAAATTCGCTGGTCAAATCCGCTAGTATAATCCGCTAACGCTAACCGCTGATTGTCAAACAAGGACATTGCGAGGTAGTTTTCACTTCAATTTGTTGTGTGATTTGAATACTCTCTTTGTCACAAAATCTCTTAAGTAGTTAATATGGTTGGCTTTATTAATTATATATATTTTTTTTTAATTTTTTCATGGTATTAATAAAATACTTGGTAAATAAATATATAGCATTATTTTGTATTATAACTTTGATATTTAATTAGAAAAATAGTGCACAAAAAAGATAATAGATAATGTAGTGAATATAATCAATTGATGAATTTGAATGTAAAAATTTTTACATTTGAGAAAAATAAAGACAATATAACTAATGAAAATATTTCTTTTAATTAATTTATTGATAATTAATATTTTTTTTTTCACTGAATAAAGACATTGTAAGGATAATGTAGCGAATAAAATCAATTAATAAATTTGAATATAAAAAATTTTTATATTGAAGAAAAATAAAGACAATATAACTAATAAAATTATTTTTCTTAGTTAATTTATTGATAATGAATAATTTTTTTTTGGAATAAAGGCATTGTGGACACATAATTATAAATTAAAGAATGCATATGTATTATTTTTTGTTGTAACTACTAAATTATTATTTATATAATTTAATAAGAGTAAAAATAGAGCACTAATTATGCCAACTTTGATTGGGATGAGATTCGAACCTAAGACCTTTTTCTATTGAAATCAATGAGTAAGTTAACGATGAACTAACGGCAATTCTTAAAATTTTAACGGAATTAGTAACGATGTGTGGGTATTTTAGAAAATTTTAGTGTAAAATTTAAATCTGATCAATCTTTCAATCAACCTGAGCCATTCATTTGATTAAAATCTGTGACCGCCATTTTTTCTACCCATTATAGGCCTAACTCTCTTGGACTCTTATTAGTATAGTAGATAGTAGATAGATAGTAGATATATATAGTAGATTTGCAGCTAGATAACAAAATAATAATAAGTAGTAACACTTGCAATCTCTATGGGATACAACACTAGTTACTTAACCTTCTATATTAAAAAAGGTAGATGCAATTATCTCGACGATTTTGTATATAGTTTCACATTGAGTATCAATATTATTACTCCACACCCCAAGGATGCATAATATAACAAGTTTTTAGGGTCATTTGAAATATATAGAAATCATCCCCCATGAGGAAATTATTTTGCATGATCTTTATTGAAAATTACACTTCTTGGTGACACTTCATTGTTATGTTACCATATTTGATCACACAAATAAATGATCATTAGGCCATGGCCCATGTAAGAGACACTCGGCCCAAATCTTTATCTAGGCCCAGATCATTCCAAACTGCCGCCGACCCATCAACGATGTTGTTATCGCACGGCCCTTGTCCTCCATGCTCATCGTCGCATCCGTGCATGGAGTCACACTCATCCACCACCTTCGCCGTCGTGCTCCTCCCGTTACTCGCCCTGATACGAATCATCTTCTCGCACCTACGTTGAGCACGTAATATATAAACATAAATGTACAATTCAATTATCAAGTCTTCTAATTAAAATAAAACACATACTTTAATTTTGTATAGACATAATCTATGTCAAAGGTTATGAGTTTAAATTTGTGTCACCTGATAAATTATAGACTATGATGCACGGTGCCAGTAAAAAATAATCAGTAATCAACTCACACATAATATATAAATATAAATGCGTAACACATATTTCAATTTCGTATCAGAATTGATTCATGTCAAATTAAAGGTCATGAATCTCCATGTCACTCAATAAACACCCCTATTATGGTCCACATGTGGTTTAGAACTCGCTAAAATTAGTAACCATCCCACACACATGACACTGCGAGAAATTATGGAATTTTCAACTACCTGGAAGTGATCTTAAATCAAGTCGAACTCCTTGTTCTGACCACTTTTGGTATCCGGAAAACACTTTGTTGCTATTTTCGACCACTTTTTGCTTTCGACTTGATTTAAAGATCACTTTCAGGTGGTCGGAAATTTCATAATTTCCAACAAAGCATATGAACATATACTGTATATGTTATATTATATAATCATAAATGTGCAATCTAGCTCGAATTACCTAGACCCTCCCGCGTACCACCCGGTCGACAACGCCACCACTCTTTCGTTATTGTCGTGGTAATGCTCGTCGCATTCGGATGGAGCGCCACCGTCGCCGCCTTCGCTGAAGTCGTTGAGGGTGAGTATGGCGGGGGTAGAGGACTTCATCGGAGGCGAGCACCGGTAGGTAGACTTGGTCTCGCCGTTGCACGTCATACTCCCGACCGGTTTGCAGTTGCCGGGAGTTGGAGTAGAGCCCCCTCTGCAGATATGTGTTCCGACGTCGGGGTCGTCGTTGCACTTCCCGCCGATGCAAATTAGCTGGCCGGAACAATCGTCCAAGGTTGTGCAGGGGCCATTGCAGGAGGAAAGTGCATTTCCTTGGAGTGAAAAACAGAAGAAAATTGCGAAAATGCAGAGAGAAATAAGAGCAAGATTTGCCATGGCTACGTTACGTTGCTACTTCAATTCCTATATTTGACGATGAAATATATGATGTTTGTATGAACATATTTATAGTAAAACTCTATCCAAATAACAACTATTTTGCGACTGCTGCAGCAATAATAGGGTGTGTTTGGTTGTTGGGTTTTGTCCATAGGAATGGGTATGAAAGTGATTGTTGTTGTTTGGTTGATAGGTTTTTAGAACACTACTATGAGTTTCGAATACTCCATTAATTGAAAAACCCATACCCAAATAAAATAAGGTTTTCATTCCCTTATTCATTCTCAAGCACTACTATTAATAGGGACGGAGCCAAAAATTATGTTGAGGGGGGGCAAAGAAGTAAGGATGGTCGGTGGCGGATTCATGAATTTTTTTCAGTGAGGCCAAAAAATTAAAATAAAAGAGAAAGTTTGAAAAAAAAAATGAAACACTTTAATTAAGAAGTATAACAATAAATATTGTTGGATATAGCGAAAAATAAAACATATTAAAACTTTATAAAAATATTTTATAACAAAATATGAAACATAATTAATTTGATAAAACAATTCGAATATAAAACACATTATAAATTACACATTCCATTATTAATATAAAGATAGTTATATATACATCTCATTATTAATATAAAGATATATACATTTCATTATTAATATAAAAAAGAAAGTTATACATATCATGCCAAAATTTAATTGTGTTGAGCAAAGATGTGAAGAAGACTAAGACAATGTCAATGCAAGGATTCAAACCAAAGCCATTTTGAAACTCTAACAAGTTTCTTACCACCTTGTCTACCAAAGCTTTTGTTTACAAAATCTGTTTTTACAATACTTATACTAATAATATACTATATATACATATTATATACAAAGCTATATATAGGGTAGGGGTGGAGTGGGGTGGGATGAGGGGGGCAGGTCCCTGCCCCCCTTTGGCTCCGTCCCTGACTATTAGTAACAATTCCCATTCCACCCTACTACCAAACATGTTAAATACTTTTACCAAAACTCATTACCATTACCAATTATTTGATACCCATTTCGATTCCAATTCCTATATGTGAACCAAACAACCCATAATGTTAAAAGGATAAAGTAACTCAAAAAATCGTGTACTGATGATGACAATTGCTTGTCATGAAACCAAAAATATCACAATTTGGTGAAATATATCTTACAAAAAAATTATGAGTTCGAGTATTGCGAACACTTTTTTGATCGAACAATGTCTTCCTAATACAGTTAACCTCAACTTTTTTGTGCGGATGCGAATTATAGAGTAATAAAATTTACTTATGCACACTCTCAAGTCTCAATCAAATAGTCAGTGTGAGTTTTCTCGCCCAATAACAAACTTATTTATCCTATTTAATCCACTGACAAGGTGGATTTCATTTAATACAATACAATATTATTATTCCATAAAATATTGGCGTTTCCACTTGCTCTTGCCTCATTTGGTGGAGTCTCCATTCCCAACTGCCATTAATTCCTCAAACAGGAAACCTATGAAACCCTACTCCACTTCTATACAACAACCGTATATAAACAACGTTAGATATTTATTGCCCCTCACTCTAATTAACCTCGGTAAGTCAATAATGTATCTAAGATTTGTATACTCTTATGTTCCATATATGATATAAGTAGTAGTTTTAACCCATTTTGTTTTTGGAATGGCTGGAACCGAAAAACAAGAACAAAAAATCAGACAAAAAAAACATGAGACGATTCGTGGTGTTTGCATTAATCATAATGATGATAACTGAACAATATTTTTATTAGTATTTTAGTTAATCTTATTATAATTAGTAGGTAATATTTAATTAATTAATTTAATTTTTTTCATTAGTTTATAATATCAATAACTTCTTCTTATTGCTTAAAAAAAAAAAAAATTCTTCTTGCTCGGTAACCAATGGCAGAGCCACAATGGGGGCAACTGCCCCCATTCCTCACCCCCATCCCATATATATATATATATATATATATATATATATATATATATATATATATATATATATATAATATATAATATATATATATATTGTATATATAGATTTCTTGTATATATATAGTTAATTTATAAATATTAAATTTACATAAATGTAACAAAGGTATGAGTTAGTTGAGATGGTAAGGTAATGGTTTTACCCTAATGGGCTGTTTGGTTCACGGAATAGGCCTTGAATGACATAGCATTCCTAGTAATAGGCATATTCCTTCGTTTGGTAACCACTTGTATTTCTAGGAATATTGTTCCCGAGAATGACCTATTCCCCTTGCAAGGAGAATAGAGATTCCTGGGGGCCCTTGGTATTAGGCTATTCCTGAGTTCTCAAGAATAGCCTAAAGTTTCTATTTCCTATTTTACCCCTCAATTAAATTTATTTCCTATTTTACCCCTCAATTAAATTTATTTCCTATTTCACCACCACACCGTCACCGCCACCACCACCATCACCACCATCACCGCCGCCGCTACTGCCACCACCACCGCCACCATCACATATTTTTATAAGAGTATTTAATTATGTCTTTTAAAACATATTTCATTTCTATTCCTTAAATCAACCAAACACTGTAATATAAATATATAATTCCTAAAGTCTATTCCATCCGCGAATCAAATAACAGAATACAATTCTTATTCTATTCCTTGCCTATTCCATTCCTTATGGAATAGCATTCATATTACCTCAAAATTCATTTTGTGAACCAAACATGCTGTAAATGTTATCGGTTCTAATCCTACAAGCAATAATTTGAATTGTATTTTTTATTTGAAACATCATGTTTTTTAAATCTCATTTTTTTAAAAAAAATATTAATAGTGATATTAGTGATTTATAATATGTGAATTGAATTTTTTATTTGTAACATCATGTTTTTAAAATCTTATTTTTAATATTAATAGTGATATTAGTGATTTATAATATGTTTTCGATTCAAACTATTTTATCTAATTAATTATATTTCATATTTTGTGGAATTTTTATTTGTATAGTAACATTGTGTTTTTTTCTCCTTTTTTTTTTAAATATTAATAGTGATATAAGTGTTTTATAATATGTTTTCTATTCAAATTATTTTATCTAATTAATTATATTTCATATTTTTTTTGAATATTTTTAAATCTCATTTTGAAGTATTTTAATTTTTCATCCTAATTACAATATTTATGACTCGGCATCAAAGTATTTTTTTAAAAAAATATCTCATTAATTTTTAATTTTTTGCCCTCACTAGTGAAGATTTCTGGATTCACTCCTCGTGACCGGGCGAAGTAGAGAGGAAGCTAGTGGTTGAGGACACTGATGATGAGAACGATAATAATGGTTATATGAACTCTTCCGGCAATTTTGATTTGGATAATCACCATTTCAAACGCAGGCAAGACTTCTACAACAAAAATAACAGTAATAACGATGGTAAAAAAGAAAAAAAAAAAAAGAAAGAAAGAAAGAAAGAAACGTTGTATATAAAAAAAAAAAACTCAAATAAATTGCACTTACATCTTGTAAAATATAAATTATTTTTATTATATAATATCAATTTTATTTAATTTGAGAAATAACTTGGAATTATTACTCAAATATAAGGATCGGGTATGATGGGGTGCGGATCCAATGGGCTAGAGGCCTAAGAAAGGTTAAAAGGAAATATACGTTGTGGGCTGTGGACAGGCCATGAGGAAAGCGCGGCTGAGTGAAAAGCCGAGTCCAAGGAGTCGGCACCAAAAAGAGTTGGCCCACCAGTGACCGTTGCTGCTTAAATGCCCGCCATTAATGCGTGTCAATCCAACCGTTGGGAAGGCCATGTAACGGCGACCCAACGACTCTTAGCGCTTTATTTTTTCATTATTGCACATTTAAATTTGTATTTAACCATTAGGGGATAGTCACCTATAAAAGGAACCCCTCCTCGAGTGTAAAAAGGGAGAGAGCTTGAAGAATACACAGAAATATTCAGAAACTATAGTCGAAAATAACCTATCTTGCTACTTGCTTTTCTACTTTTCAAGGGATCTTACACAAGCGTATTTGCCGGTGAATCCACCAACCAACGGTTGCGTTGGACCGCTGTGGGCCAAAAAACCCTAAAACCAACAGGGTATAACTTGGAATTTTATTTAATGTCGACCATGGTTCATTTTGCTTTGATTTTCTTAATTGTTTTGGTGTTAATTAGTGTTTTATTTTCATCGATTATTTTTCTCATCGATCATATATTTGCAGTTAGATAATAAAATAATAGTAAATACTAAATAGTAGAACTCGTAATCTCTATGAGATACAATACTCGTTCCTTAATGCAATTATCTAGACAATTTTGTATAGTTGCACATTGAGTATCAATATTATTACTCCACACCCCAAGGATGCATAGAGTGATTTGAAATAGATAGAAAGCATCCCCCATGAGGAAATTATTTTGCATTATCTTTATTGAAAAAGTACACTTCTTGGTGACACTTTATTGTTATGTTACCATATTTTGATCACACAAATAAATGATCATTAGGCCATGGACCATGTAACAGAGACTCGGCCCAAATCTTGATTTAGACCCAGAGCATTCCAAACCGCCGCCGACCCATCAACGATGTTGTTATCGCACGGCACCTGTCCTGCATGCTCCTTATCACATCCGTTCATTGAGTCACACTCATCCACCACCTTCGCCGTCGTGCTCCTCCCGTTACTCGCCCTGATACGAATCATCTTCCCACACCTACGTTGAGCACGTAATATATATAAAAATTATGAGTTCAAATCCACGTCACCAGATAAGAAATAGATCAGGGTGCACAAAGCCGTTCAAAAGTAATCAGCTCACACATGTGAATAGGTCTATTGAGCATATATATAATATATAAATATAAATGTGCAACACTTGTTTCAATTTAGTATCAGAGTCAATCAATGTCAAAGGTCAGAATTTCCACGTTGTAGACACTTAAATTTTGATAAATATTGATTATTTATCAATATTAGAATATTTGAATATATTTGAAT